GGTGATGGTTAATTTTATGTGTCAGCTTGGCAGGAGTGGAAATTGTAAATTTTTTTTCTGTAAAGGTTTTATTATGCAGAGGAGGGGCTCAGTTCTTGGCAGCTGCTTTCCTCATGGCAACCCAGTACCCAGATATTTGGTCAAACTGATAGTGATGGGATGCAGTCAAATGCATAGTCAAGTTGGGGTGGGTCCCTGGGGTTTCTCCCCACCTTCACACCAAAAACAGAGCTGAAAGACTGGACTGCTGGTCCCAGATGAAACCCATGACTCAGACTTAGAACTTCTATTCCTGTTTTCCCACCCTTTCCTGATTGATTCTTCTGAATAATGTCTTTTAACCAATTGAGTGTTGCCTTTTCCAATACTACCTATTGGCCTGCCCTACCCCTATTCTGAGCCCATAAAAAGCCCCAGACCCAGTCACTTGGGGAGGTGAGAACCACCCGACTGTGGGGCTGGGGAACCGCCCCCCACCTCCCCTCTCTGCTGATAACTGTTCTGCCATTCAATAAAATACTTCTCCACCCCCTCACCCTTCAATGGCCAGCACATCCTCATTCTTCTTGGTTGTGGTACAAGAGCTCGGGAACCATCCAATGTAGGTACGAGCTATAACACAGGCAAGCTGGGGCATGCCAACCTGGCTGAGTAAGGCCTGGGCAGGGCATCAGCTGGGGGTTCCCAGCTTGCAAAGTGATCAAGAAGAAAAATCCTACATGAAAACATTATTCTGGATGTTTTTGTGAAGGTGTTTTTTGAGTGAGATTTGACTGATGGAATTTGAGTAAAGCAGTTACCTCTATAATGTTTAATCAGCTAAAGGCCTTAATGGAAAAAGACTGACTTCCCCAGGAAAGCAAGAAATTCTGCAAGCAGACTGCCTTCAGATTCAAACTGTAACTCCTCCCTGAGTCTCCAGCCTCTTAGCCTACCCTACAGATTTTGGACTTACCATGCTGTTACAGGAAAGGGGTCCCAATGCAAGCCCCAGGAGCAGGTTCTTGGATATCATGCAAGAAAGAATTCAAGGCAAGTCCATAGAGTAAAATGAAAGCAAGTTCATTAGGAAAGTAAATGATTTTTTTAAATGGCTACTCCATAAGCAGAACAGCCCTGAGGGCTGCTGGTTTTGTCCCCCCGCTTTTTTTTTTTTTTTGGTTTTTTCTTGATGATATGCTAAACAAAGGGTGGACTATTCATGCCTCCCCTTTTTAGACCATAGAGGGTAACTTCCTGACGTTGCCATGACATTTGTAAATTGTCATGGTGCTTGTGGGCGTGTAGCAATGAGGACCGCCAGAGGTCACTCTCATGGCCATCTTGGTTTTGGTGAGATCTAGCCGGCTTCTTTACTGCAACCTTTTTTTCTTTACTGCAACCTGTTTTATCAGCAAGGTCTTTATGACATGTATCTTGTGACCTCCTATCTCATCCTGTGACTTAGAATGCCTAACTATCTGGGAATGCAGTCCAGTAGGTCTCAGCCTTATTTTACCAAGCCCCTATTCAAGATGGCGTTGCTCTGGTTCAAATGCCTCTGACAAGGCCTCTACAGTCACATGAGCCAGTTCCTTAAACTCTCTCTTTCTTTCTCTACATACATACATACACACACATACACACACACACACACCCCTCACTGTATATAGATTGGTTCTCTTTCTCTGGGGAACCCTGACTGATATACTCACTCAGCGTGGTCTGCTTCCTGGACAGGACTCTGATATTCCTCTGCTGTGGAATTGGTCTATCCAGGACCTGCAGCATAGGTCAGAGGTAGGGGCCTGGTCTCAGGCCAAGTAGGACGTGTGAGACCTGCTTTCACCCCCTCCAACCCCTGAGGTCTCTGTAGTCCCTGCTGTCCAGGTGCTCACAGCCCAAGGAAGGGAACAGGCACTCTGCAGCTTCTTCCCTTCCAGGACAGCTTCAGCTGGTGAGGCAAGTTAGGCATAGCCATGGAGCTCTGGGACGGTGGGGGAACTCTCCCTACAGCTTGGGGAGGGTGACGTAAATTAGGCGTAGCCATGGAGCTCTTGACCAGGAAGGAGCTGCTCCTTCAGGCTGGGGCAGGAAGGAGGGTGAGCAGCAGGAGATAAGGATGGCCAGGGAAGCTCAGTCCACGTTCACTGGCCTCTGTTCAGAGGGCACTGGAGGTGCATTAACTTTACATAAAAGCATCTCAAAGACCAAAAAACCTTCAAGACCTAAAGACGTGAGTCTCAAATGGTGGTGTTCCAGGTTCCTGAAAGAGATATTTTGAACAATGGGGCCTTCCCAAGCATCCCCCAGACCAAAACGTATTATTAATTGGCAAAAAGAGAAAAAGAAAATCTCAATGAAATAAAAAGGAGCATGACTACTTTCGGTGCCATCCTCCCTTCTTTCACCATTGTCTACCAGCTCTGTCATTACCCATTTTCCTCAGAGATGTTTGCTGCAGCCTCTCCCATCCTTTCCCCTCCCTTCTGCCCTTTCAGTCACCCAGACGCCCTCCTGTTCACCACTTACATGCAGCGCCCTGGTCCATCCCTCTGCACCCAGCATTACAAGGAGGTCAGGGAGAAGCTAGCAAGGACCGGGTCGCCAGGGGGTTGCTGCCAGGACTACCCTCTCCAGCAGCTCCAGGTGGTAGCCTTGGGACCTGCCCAAAGGCAAACACTTGGAGAAGGCCCTGTCTCAGGAGGGTGATGCAGGCTGTGAACAGGGCATCAGCTGTGGCCTGAGCCAGTGGCCAAACTGGAAGGAGGAGCATGTAGAAATGAAGAAGCTGAAGAGAAGAGGCTGGGGAATGGCTGTGGGGGACCCTGGGGGGCTTATCTCCTCCAGGCAATGTGTCTTCAGGGGCGTCCCTCTGACTCACAGCAGATTCACTGAGTGATGGGTGTGCTCTTAAGGCAGCGTAACCACCTAGCAACACGTCTTTTTTAGGAAGCCCTGGCCAGCCAGGGTATCTCTAGGTTGTCCTGGCTTAGCATTGCCTCCTAGCTGGAGACTTCTTGAGGCAGACTAAAGGTTGCTGGAACCTCTCTTGCTTCTTCGCCCCTCCGACTTCCCCAGGTTCTGCTGCCAGCCTCCAGTGCAGGAGAAATTTAGCTTCCATGTCTCAACATCCTGCTTCCTCTACCCAATCACTAGGTCAGGTCTGGGGAGGTGAAGGATGTAGGACACAAGTTGGGGTCAATTAGGGAAAGCCAAGGAGAGCATGGGGCATGAGGAATGCACAATAGGGATACTGGGGAGAGCTGGAAACAAAAGACCACCAGATTGAGCAGCCTAGTCTCCCAATGCTGACTGAGCTAGAAGGCGAGGCCCAACTGGCAGTGGGAAAAGAAGTGAGCTATGATGGGCCCTCATGTTTGCTGACTTTCAGGCATGCCAGGCTGTCCTTAGAGGTCATCCCTTGAATGGCTGCTTATCATCCTTATGATGTGAGGCTGTGGCTGCCACAGGAGGGGAGCGTGGAAACCATGCTTGCAGGAAGAGTGTGTTCTGACAAGCAGAGGCTGGCTCAGGAGATAAGCTCCCACCCCCACACAAAAATAATAGAGCTCCATCCAGAGTTGAGGGGACTGCAGCTGGAAGGCAGAGTTCAGAGTCATATCCCAAAGGGTGCCAAAGAGAGACATCCCATCAAGACTCTGCAATGGCGAGGACAAAAGGCAGGAAAAAGAAATGAAGTATAAATAAAAGAAGTCAAACTACCATTATTGCAGGTACTAACTACTATTGTTACCCCAGAATATTTAGGAAAGTAAGCGCTAAAATTATTAGAATAATAATGGAATTCAGTAAGTTGGTTGAATACAAAACAAATGCAGGGAAAAATTAAAAGCTTTCCCTTTCAGAATATACAGTAGAAGAAATCATAAAAGTCACAATAGCAATAAAACCTAAAGACAACAAGAAAATGTAGAGTCATAAAGAATGTATGTCATTACTGACAGACATGAAAGATGAATTGAAAAATAAGGAGATGGGCCGGGCACGGTGGCTCACGCCTGTAATCCCAGCACTTTGGGAGATCACCCGAGGTCGGGAGTTCCAGACCAGCCATGACCAACATGGAGAGATTCTGTCTCTACTAAAAATATAAAAATTAGCCGGACGTGGTGGCACATACCCATAATCCCAGCTACTCGTGAGGCTGAGGCAGGAGAGTCTCTTGAATCCGGGAGGCAGAGGTTGTGGCGAGTCGAGATCATGCAACTGCACTCAGCCTGGGCGACAAAGTGAGACTCCATGTCAAAAAAAAAAAAGAAAGAAAGAAAAAGGAAAAAGAAGGAGATAAACCATGTTTTCAGATAGGAAAGCAACACTATAAAAGATGGATTTCCCCCCATATTTATCTAGAATTCAGTGCAGCTTGGGGGTGGGAGTGGCAGAGGGAAACATGATCAATTGATTTTGATGGATAAATATGCAAAGTTAAGCAGGAAAACATTTTTAAATGCATCATAAGATAAAAACATACTACAAAACTAAGCTAATTAGACAAGTATGTAAAAGCATTTTTTAAATAAAACATTTTTTAATTAAAAAGACAATAACATGGTGCTGGTACATGTATAGAAAAAGCAGATTAATGAAACAAATAGGCAGTTCAGAAACAGATCCACAAATTAATGAAAATTTAATACACAAGTAGAGTGGCATTACCAATGAAAAAGATTGTTGAATGGTGTAGAAACAATTGTACATTATATACCATACACCTAATAAGTTCTACATGAATTAAAGATCAAAAAATAAAAACTAAGACTATAAAAATACTATGAGAAAATATGAGACTATTTCTATAATCTTGAGGCTGGAAAGGATTTGCTAACTCTAACACAATATCCAGGAGGCATAAAGAAAAGCAAAAGATTCAACCACTCAGAAACCTAAACTTCTGTGCAAGAGCGCTGCCATCCAAATCATTGCCAGGGAGAAAACATTTGCAACATATAGAAAATATAAGAGCCAAAAATTCACAAAATATAAAGTGTTTCTACATATGAATAAGAAAAAGAGAAACAACCTAATTGAAAAAATACACAAAGGATAGATAAATCACAAAAAAGAAAAGCATCACTGATAAACCTAAGGAGACACGCTGAATTATGATGAACCGTAATTTTTAAAATGCAAAATAAAAAACAAATTTTTTTTGTAAATCAAATTGGTGAAGATTAGAAATACCGGAGAGAAAACATTCTGGAGAGAAAACGAGGTGCTGGCAGGAGTGAAAATCGCCGAGTTTGGTTCTGTAGAGGTTTTGTTATGCAGAGCAAGGGGAGCTCAATCCTTGGCAGCTGCTTTCCTCACTGTGGCCAGGACGTCACTCAGCTCCTCTTACCTCCTCTTGGTGCGGATGTGTGGCCCCACCCTTTTCTTGATGAACGTGAGGGCCCATTTGTCTTTGGAGACCTTGAGCAAGTCCATGGCATGGCGCTCATTCAGGGCAAAGCCACACAGCTCTCGGATCATGTCCTGCTGAACTTGGTGAGTGTGCCTGAGCTTGCTCACATCGCTGATCCACCTGTGCCCTCGCTGAGGCCCTCAGCCATGGGGTAGTACAGAGCCATGGCTGCTGCTCTCCGATGGCTGATGCATTGAAGAGCGAAAACTGCAATATTTTTTGAAAATAATTTAGCGGCATGATACCCATTGACTCAGCAATTCCATTCTAGGACTCTAGCCTACAAAAATAGTAACATACTTCACAAAGATGAGCATAGATAGGTATTTGGTGCAACAGAAAAAAAATGGAAAATAACTTAATAATGGAATGTTTAAAGAAATGATGGTCCATCTATACCAAAAATACCATCTGCCCATCAGGCTGCTCTTCTGGGATGGCCCTTCCTTGCGTCCTGGCCTTCTCCATCCCCCAACCCTCTGTACATGATTCTTTTGGAACAACTCTACCTTCCTGGCCACAGCTGATTAATTCTAGTGTTCCTTTGATCCATGGCAGGCCAATCAGAGCCAATGAGAAAGAGAGCCAATCTAAAGAAGTAAAATATTAAGCTCACGAGGGAGCCTGAGCTCAGGATAGGAGGCCTCTTAGAAGCCACATTTCCCTCCCTCCCCCATTCACTGAGGCACCAAAAAAAATATCCACCAAGATTCTCCAAGGTAATCAGAGGAGCAAAAAATTTGACATTTGGGGAATATGGTGGCCCCAACTCTTACCTCCAGAGTTCCCCTCCCCTTAGGTATCCCCTGCATTGCTACTACCACCCCAAGCTGATCTCAGGAGGGACTGCTCCCCACTACCTTTCCACCCAGGCACAGGTGCAGACCTCATTTGAATGGGGTCTGGGAGGGCAGAGTTGTTCTGAAACCAGGCTAAGACATTTGCCCAGTCTTGGCCAAAGGCTCAGAGCTAACTGAAGGGAATCTCACACATGCGGTAACACAGCCTGTGATTCTGGAGGTGAAAGCAATGGAGTGACCCGAGGGATGCCACAAGAAGAGTTTAATGTGGAGAAGTTCCTGGGGACAACCACTCCTATCTACGCCCATCTTTACTTAAGCTTTTGAGATTTCTCTAGCATTTCTGCTCCCTATGGCTGGGTGAGACAAAAAGCAAGTGTTCACCACTTTTTCCTTGTCCTGAGGGCAGAAAGCCAAAGGCAAGCCCTGAAGAATGGTAGAGCCCACTCTTCCTAGCTGTTCGTTACTATCTGTCAGTTATCTGAGGGAAAGGATCTTCAAGGGCAGCACATCACAGGGACAAAGTTGTGAAAAAATCCTACTCTGGAGTCTAAGAATAAATGAACGGCCAGGCACGGTGGCTCACGCCTGTCATCCCAGCACTTTGGAAGGCCGAGGTGGGTGGATCATCTGAGGTCAGGAGTTCGAGACCAGCCTGGCCAACATGGTGAAACTCTGTCTCTACTGAAAATACAAAAATTAGCCGGGCGTGGCGGCACACACCTATCTATAATCCCAGCTACTCAGGAGGCTAAGGCAGGAGAATCGCTTGAACTCGGGAGGCGGAGGTTGCAGTGAGTCGAGATCATACCACTGCACTCTGGCCTGGGAGACAGAGTGAGACTCCATCTCAAAAAACAAAAAAAACAAAAAAAAAATTAACAATTCAGTAGATCTACACACTTCTCAAGTCAAAAAGTGGCATCCAGTTTCTGCCACTATCTAGCTGTGTGGCCTTAAACCTCTCCCCCGGACCTCCAGCTCTGTGTTCACAGAATGAGAAGCCAGGCTTCGGTAAGACTGAAGATTGCTCAGAGTTCTCAGAGTTCTCATTCCCAATTTTTTTTTTTTTTTTGGAGATGGAGTCTCAATCTGTCGCCCAGGCGGAGTGCAGTGGCACAGTCTCTGCTCACTGCAACCTCCACCTGCCGGGTTCAAGTGATTCTCTTGCCTTGGCCTACCAAGTAGCTGGGATTACAGGCGTGCGCCACCACACCTGGCTGTTTTTGTGTTTTTAGTAGAGACGGGTTTCACCATGTTGGTCAGGCTGGTTTCAAACTCCTGACCTCAAGTGATCCGCCTACCTCAGCCTCCCAAAATGCTGTGATTACAGGTGTGAGCCACCACACCTGGCCATGATTCCCATCATTTTTTGCCAGCCTGATGCCTGTTCGAGTTCCCAAGAGCTGCGTATCTTGGGCATCTGAGCTGGAGACAAGACAGAAAGCCCACAAGGAGCCAAGCATCCATATTCCCAACAGGAACCAGTGCTCGGGAGCAACTGCAGTGAACCAAACCGGTGACAGGGTGGAGCTCTCCATTTAACTGATACTTATGCCGCATGTTGAGTTAATTGTCTAATTAAATATTATTATCGAACAATTTATCACTGAACATTTTAGTTAAATAAGACTCCCTCAAATATCAATAGCTTCCTCTGGTGAGGAGTGACTTGCCATATTTGCCGTCGTAATTGCTTTGCCACTCTGCTAGGAGAAATTAATCTGACTGTGACAACTTAGTTTGGCCAGGAACAGTAACACATTTCATCTAATGGACTTAAATTAATTAGAAGCAGGCTTTGCAAGTTACCTCTAAAATCTATGACTGAACAAATACAGGTGCCACACAGTGGTGGATACTTCTTCTTTTAATAGAACTACTGTATTAAAATGCACCATTTTGCTTCTGAATGCTCAATGGAATTTAGTAGCAACCCCAATCCTTACAGGGTGTTTATAACCCTGCTTTCTTGACCGCTACTCTCTCTCTCAAGTCCTTTGGATACTCCAAGCTGTATTTTTGTTTCCTTTTCTGTTTGTTTGTTTTCTGAGACGGAGTCTCGCTCTGTCACCCAGGCTGGAGTGCAGTGGTGCAACCTCAGCTCACTGCAACCTCCACCTCCTGGGTTCAAGCAATTCTCTGCCTCAGCCTCCCGAGTAGTTGGGATTACAGGTGCCCGCCACCACGCCTGGCTAATTTTTTGTATTTTTAGTAGAGATGGGGTTTCACCATGCTGGCCAGGCTGGTCTTGAACTCCTGACCTTGTGATCCACCTGCCTTGGCCTCCCAAAGTGCTGGGATTACAGGCATGAGCCACTGCGCCAGGCCCAAGCTAGGTTTTAAAGGTCTTTGAGACCCAGGCCAAAGGACTACTCTGGAAAGGCAGTGACTCTCTCCAAGATCCACGTCTATGGTGGCAGGGCCAGCTGGCAGGAGAGTCAGGGCTTGGCAGCTTCTTCTGCAAGATGCATCTGTGTTTCCTGCCACTACCAAGCCACCTGGCCCCTGAACGATGTAGCCTGTACCATTTACTAATGAGCTTGGAATACTCCTGCACTACTCGTGGCATTTGTCCAGAGTCATGCATCCTGACCTGTCTCCAAGTCCATGCTAATCGGTCCTAAACTTCCCAGCTCATGTCTTATTTTACTGTCTTTGGACTAATCTAACCTACTCTTGTATGTGTGTTGTTTTATTATTTTTTTGAGGGGGGGATGGAGTCTCACTCTGTCACCCAGACTGGAGTGTAGTGGCGTGATCTCAGCTCACTATAACCTCCTCTTCCCAGGTTCAAGTGATTCTCCTGCCTCAGCCTCCCTAGTAGCTGGGATTACAGGCGCGCGCCACCATGGCTGGCTAATTTTTGTATTTTTAGTGGAGACGGGGTTTCACCGTGTTGGCCAGGCTGATCTCGAACTCCTGACCTCAGGTGATCCACCTGCCTCAGCCTCCCAAAGTGCTGGAATTACAGGCGTGAGCCACCACGATCAGCCTAATCTTTCTCTTTAAACCTAATGCTTTTCATCCTTTGTCACATTTTTGCATTCATTCTACCCAGTTCCTTCCAGGTGTTCCCAGGCCTTGCAAGTGTTCTGAGCCGTACTGGGGAGAGAAAGAGGGGTTTCTTGTCATGGGAGAGATCTCTGAAGCAGAGGGACATCAGGGGCCCTGCTCGTAAAGGGAGCGTCCGTTCACAGTGAGGTGCCTTAGAGACGACGCAGCAGCAACAGGCCCTCAAGTCTGCCCCCGCTTCTGGGCATCTGCCCCTTACAGAATATCCACATTCCATTGGCCCCAGCACCTCCAGACCAAACACCAACCTCGAAATGTTGTCAGCAGGACTTAGGTATCAGGTCCTTGGCAAACACAGAACCACCTGCCTTTTCCATTTCTCCTGCCTCTGTCCTCCTGCTAAAGTCATGCTATCCCTTTGGGGGGTCTACAAATACCAATTCTTTTATTTCACTCCCTTACACCAAAAGGAGAGCTTCATTCATTCAACACAAATTTATTGAGCACTTACTATTTGCCAAATATTAGTCTAAGCACTGGGGATAGCTGTAAAAAAAACACACAAATCTGTGCATTTGTGGAGCTTAAATTCTAATGAGGGAGACAGAAAATCAACAAGATAAATAAATGAAGATTAACACTGCAAATGGTAATAATAAATTCTAAGGATAAAAACGAAGCAGGAAAGGACAATAGGAAGTTACTAGAGATGAAGGGCTGGGGGTGCAGTTTTAAACAGTCTCAGTCCAAAGGCAATATTTGAACAAAGACTTGAAGGAGATGGAGTAGTGAGCCACGCAGATATTTGGGGGACAGGAATAGATCCAAGATTTGTGGGACCCAATGTTGATACAACTTTGAGAGCCTCGTTAAGAAATAGAATATGAAATTATCAATACAAAAGTAGGTACAAGGCCTTGAGAGGGCCCATGTTGGTAAAGGGTGGGAAGTTTATGCTCCATTAGTTTATTGGTAATTCTGCTTCTGCTGGAAGAATAGTGTCCCACGCAGAGAGAACAGCGAGTTCTAAGGGCAGGAGCTTGTGTAAGGAGCATGCACCATGAGTGAGAACAGCACCAGGAAGCCAGGGTAGCTGGAACGCACAAATGAGAGGCTATGGAGGAGGAGGCATGATCAGAGAGGTAGTGGAGGCCAGATTACATAGGATGTCGCCCAGGCTGGAATGCAGTGGCACCATCTTGGCTCATTGCAGCCTTGACCTCCCAGATCAAGTCATCCTCCCACCTCAACCTCCTGAGTAACAGGGACTACAGGCAGGCACCACTACACCCGGCTAACATTTTATTTTTTGTAGAGATGGGGTCTCACTATGTACCTAGGCTGGTCTCAGACTCCTGGGCTCAAGCGATCCTCCTACCTGGGCCTCCCAGAGTGCTGGGATGACAGGTGTGAGCCATTGCTCCCACACTGGCAGTTTTTGAGCAGAGGAGTAATATGAGCTGACTTTGATTTTAAAAGAATCCCTCTAGCTGCTAGTTGGAGAATATGCTGAAGCAGGTCAAGGATGGAAGCAGGAGACCAGTTAGGAGCTAACTGGAATAACTTAGGAGAGAGCAGACGGTGGCTCAAGCCAGGGTGGAGGCAGCAGGGGAGTGAGAAGTAGCTCATTCTGAACACGCTCAGAAGATAAAGTCCACAGGATTTGCTACTGGATCCTTTCTGGGTAAAGGAGAAAGAGAGACATCAAGGATGACTCTGAAGATTTTGTCCTAAGTAACTGGAAGGATGTATTTCCATTAACTGAGAAGAGGAAAAATTGTTTTTGTTTTTTGAAACGGAGTCACACTCAATTGCCTAGGCTGGAGTGCAGTGGCGCGATCTCGGCTCATGGCAAACTCTGCCTCCCGGGTTCAAGAGATTCTCTTGCCTCAGCCTCCTGAGTAGCTACGATTACAGGCTCCCGCCACCATATCCAGCTATTTTTTTTTGTATTTTTTAGTAGAGATGGGTTTTCACCATGTTGGCCAGGCTGATCTTGAACTTGTGACCTCAGGTGATCCACCCTCCTCAGCCTCCCAAAGTGCTGGGATTACAGGCGTAAACCTCCGTGCCCAGAAGAGGACAATTTGGAATCTGAGAGCCGATTTTAAGTGGAAAATTAGAGTTCAGTTTTGAACATGTTAAGTTTGAGATGTTTATACATCCAAAGGGAGGGATGGAGCCTGGAATTCAGTCTGGAAGAGGTCTGGGCAAGAAATGATTAATTCTTGGACCTGGATTGGATCACCAAGGGAGTGACTGTAGGAGAGAAAAGTAGTGGCTCTAGAGTGGATCCCTGAAGCCGTCTGATATTTAGAAGTCTGAGAGACGAGAGAGAACTGACAAAAGAGACAAAAAAGGAACAGGTTGAGAGGTAAGAGAAGAACCAAGAAAGAACGCCCTGAAGCCAGGTGAGCAACGTATGTCAAAGAAGCAGAAGTGATCGGGTGCTTCAGGTGCTGCTGATATGACAAAACATGAGGACTGAAAATTGACCTCTGAATTTAACAGCATGCAGAAATCACCGATGCGCTTGACAAGAGCGGGAAGGCGTATCAATTAGGACCCAGATTTCCAGAGCGTGACATACAAACTCCAGTGAAACCTTCAGCCTGGTCTGTCTGGCTGTGCTCCCTTCAGCACCGGTAAGCAGTTCACACTTTTTTTTTTTTTTTTTGAGACTGAGTTTGCTCTTTTTGCCCAGGCTAGAGTGGTGCAATGGCACGATCTTGGCTCACTGCAACCTCCCTGTCCCGGGTTCAAACGATTCTTCTGCCTCAGCCTCCTGAGCAGCTAGGATTACAGGCGCCCACCACCACGCCTGGCTAATTTTGTATTTTTAGTAGAGATGGGGTTTCAACATGTTGGTCAGGCTGGTCTCGAACTCTTGACCTCAGGTGATCCACCCACCTTGGCCTCCCAAAGTGCAAGGATTACAGTGAACCACCGCACCTGGCCCTAGTTCACATCTTTTGGTCTGGTCTCTGGAACCTTCCACCTTCGTAACTTGTGGGCTGTTCCTCCAGGTTCTTTTCAGCCCTGCAAGCAGAACTCAGGCAACTCGACAAGGATTTTACCTGCTGGAAGCCACTAACCTGGAGAGTTAGGATTCTGTCTTTTCCTCTCATAGGTAATAGAGACAGAAAAAACAAAACAGAGAGAGAGAGAAGGAGAGAAAAATAAGTAAAGTTGAAACAAAATGAGTTGCCCATTTTTACTTTTCACTGTCAGTAAGTAAACACTGCCTTTACCTTATGAGTTAGCTATTACAGGACTGTATCCGTGGCTGCAGGCAGACTGTGGTGGGGAAGACAGCTGAAACGGCTTTATGTTCATCTGTTTACAAAAGAACTTTTTTTTTTATGAGTAGGAATAGGTAATCATTAAACTACATGTGTCCAGTTTACCAGAAAGGAAATGGAAAGGATTTATAGCATCTATCTTTAACTTACCAGTCTATCTTCAAGTGATATTATAGTGTACACTAGAGTATAAGAACCCAACATGGCAAAACCCCGTCCTTACTAAAATACAAAAAATTAGCTGGGCGTGGGGGTGCACGCCTGTAGTCCCAGCTACTCGGGAGGCTGAGGCAGGGGAATCTCTTGAACCTGGGAGGCGGAGATTGCAGTGAGCCGAGATCGCACCACTGCACTCCAGCCTGGGTGACACAGCGAGACTCCATCTCAAAAAAAAAAAACCAACCATACAATAATCTAATTCCTCCCCTCTTGACCTTTCTGCTGCCATTTTTACATTTACTTGTGCTACAAAGCCTACGCAACATTAGATAATAAGGAAAAGAACTTTACTTACCCATGTAAGTTGCCCTTCATTCCTTTGTATATACTCGTATTTTCATCTGGTATCACTTTCCTTCTGCCTGAAGGACTTCCTTTAACCTTTCTTGTTGTGTGGGCACTTGGGATAAATTCTTTCAGCTTTTGTATGTCTCAAAAAAAAGGCTTCATTTCACCTCTTTCATTTATAAAGGATATTTAAGCTGGTTATGGAATTCTAGTTAACAGGATTTTTTTTTCTTGCTATACTTCAAGGATTTTGCTTAAGGATTTTCTTTTCTTCTGCCTTTTCTTGTCTTTTCTTTTCGACATACAGGGTTTCATGTATTGCCGAGGCTGGCCACAACTCCTGGGCTCAAGTGATCTTCCCGCCTCAGCCCCCCGAGTCGCTGGGACCACAGGGGTGTGCCAATGCACCAGGCTTTCCACTGTTTTCTTGCTCACGTGTTTTTCCAATGGGAAATCTGGTGTCATCTTAATCTTTGTTCATCTATACGTTTGTCCTAAATGTTCCCTTGGTTCTTTTTAAGGTTTTCTATTGATCATTGATTTTGAGCAATTTGATTATGATGTCCCTTGGTGTCATTTTCTTCACGTTTCTTATGCTTGGGGTTCATTGAGCTGCTTGTATCTGTGGGTCTGTAGTTTTAATCAAATTTGGATTTTTTTGCCATTATTTCTTCAAATATATTTTTCTGTTCTGTCTTCCTTTTACTCTCCCTGAAACTGATTTTTGACTGGTCCATATGTAATAATATGTCTAAAATGTGCTGGAAAAAAGCATGTGTTTTTCTTTTAAAAATGATCTCTCATTGAGTTAGTTTAGTTTTTTTTTTTTTTTAAGGCAGTCACATTGGCTAAAATTAGGTTTTTAAAAAAAACATATAAGTAGCATGTAAATAACTGCTATTTTTAAAAAAGAAGAGGCTGAGGCAAGAGGATTGCTTGAGGCCAGGAAGTTTGAGAGATCAGCCTGGGTAACACAATGAGATGCTGTCTCTACAAAAAAATTGAAAGGTAGCTGGCCAGGCACAGTGGCTCATGCCTGCAATCCCAGCACTTTGGGAGGCCAAGGCAGGAGGATTGCTTGAGCCCAGGAGTTCAAGGCTACCCTGGGCAAAATAGCAAGATCTCATTTCTACAAATACAAAAACTAGCCGGGCATGGTGGTGTGGGCCTGTGGTTCTAGTTATGTGGGAGGCGGAGGTGGGAGGATCACTTGAGCCTGGGAGATTGCAGTGAGCTACGAGCACACCACTACACTCCAGCCTGGGGGACAGAGAAATACCTGTCTTTAAAATAAATAAATAAAAATTTAAAAAGGAGAAGAAGAAAGAAAGAAGAGAAAAGAAGCAAGAAAGAAGAGAAAAGAAGAAAAACGATGAATAAATTTGAAAGCAGAAAATATTTAAACATTTATATGGGAAAAAATAAATTTTAACGTGTGTTATAGTTATACTTACAAATATTTTTACATGTTATAAATATATACTATATATTTACGTATGTAAATATTTATATTTTATATACTTATATATTTTAGATATATCCTAAAGGAAATCAAGAGATAAATGACAAAAAGAGGGGAGGAGAATATTTGCAACACAAACGACGAAGAGCTAATTAACTTAATACATGAAGAACGCTTAATACACAAAGATAAAAAAATGTTGGGCCGGGCGTGGTGGCTCACGCCTGTAATCCCAGCACTTTGGGAGGCCGAGGCAGGTGGATCACGAGGTCAGGAGTTCAAGATCAGCCTGGTCAACATGGTGAAACCCTGTCTCTTCTAAAAATACAAAAACATTAGCTGGGCGTGGTGGCGGGCACCTGTAATCCCAGCTACTTGGGAGGCTGAGGCAGGAGAATCGTGTCAACCTGGGAGGTGGAGGTTGCAATGAGCCAAGATTGCGCCACTGCACTCCAGCCTGGGCGACAGTGCAAGACCCTGTCTCAAAAAAAACTAAATAAATAAAAATAAATGTTAAAAAGAAAGAAATGAGCAAAGAATATAAACAGGTAGTGCATGAGAAAAAATGCAAATGGCTAAGAAACATACATAAAGGTGCTCAACTGTATTAATTGTTTAAAATACACAAAGTTATATGTACCATTTTTCGCCAGCAGGTTGACAGAGACTGGAAATTTAGAAGTGACCCACCTCTAACCTTTGCAGGGTTAAAGCAGCAGTACAAACGCGTACCCATGTGTCATACAATTACATAGCGAAAAACTACAAATCATGCAAACAGGCCAGGTGCAGTGCACACCTGTAATCCCCACATTTTGGGAGGCCAAGGTGGGAGGATTGCTTGAGCCTAGGGGTTTGAGACCAGCCTGGGTAACAGAGAGATTGTGCCTCTACAAAAAATAAAATAGGCCAGGCCCTGTAGCTCACACCTGTAATCACAGTACTTTGGGAGGCCGAGGTGGGTGAATCACCTGAGGTCAGGAGTTTGAGACCAGCCTCAACATGGAGAAACCCTGTCTCTACTAAAAATACAAAATTAGCTGGGTGTGGTGGTACATGCCTGTAATCCCAGCTACTCGGGAGACTGAGGCAGGAGAATTGCTTGAATCTGGGAGGCGGAGGTTGTGGTGAGCCGAGATGGTGCCATTGCACTCCAGTCTGGGCAACAAGAGCAAAACTCTGTCTCAAAAAATAAATAAATAAAATAAAATAGCTGGGCGTGGTGGTGTGTGCCTGTAGTTCTAGCTACTCGAGAGGTTGAGGCGGGAGGGTCTCTTTCCAGGAGTGACAGGCTTGTGTGAAAGAACTTTAATATATATTTTTGAGAAAAGTTAATTAAGGATCTGATGTATACGACGACCAACTGTGTGTACATCTACATACCTATATCTATCTATAGCTCTGTGTGGGTGTATATATATGTTTATGCTTACATTTGCTAAGAAACTTTCTAGAAGGAATTACAAGAGAGTTACTACCTCTGGTTACTAAGAGAAGGGATAGATGGGGCAGTTCTTACCTCACACTTCTGTCTGTTCAAATTTGTCAGAGCATTTGGTACTTCATAATAAAAACAATAACCAAAAAATACACTGAGTAAAATTTCTCAGACACATCTGGTAACAGCCTCTAGCCTCCATCAACACCAGCAACTAGAAGCATCTCACATTGCAGGCATCGCACCAGGCACGGGGCTACCCAACCACAAGTCAGAGAGCTGCCTTTCCAGGCCCGTGGAATTTTGTTCAGCCAGTTGCTGCCAGTTAGTTCTCCGTCTTTGTTTCCAAGATAGCAGGAACCCTACAGGAAGCCAGTAGAAAATATGCCACACCCCCAAATGTGTTTTCTTCACGGATTTCCCTAGAAGGCTGCCAGCCTGGGCAGTGGGTGAGAAGCCGCTCTGCTGGTTTACACATAGCAGGCCCAGCGCCCCACAGGCTCAGGGAGGAGCTCTGCCCTCACCCGGCCGAATCTCACCCATGCAGGTGGCGGATCGGAGGACTTTCTGCGACTGGGAAAACAACTCAAAGGTCAGCCCTTCCCAGCAATGAGTAAACACCAACATCCCCAGTTCTGAGAGGGGCCCGCAGAGGTGGCCTCTTCCCTAGTGAGAAGTCCCCCGTGGCTAGTGATGGATTATTGGTCCGGGGGCTTCTGGACTTCAAAGACCAGAGGTTTGGTTGGATTAATCTCTGTATCCCGGTTCTTGGGACAGTGCCTGGCACATGGGTGGTGTTTGTTGAGTTGCCATCAGAGGGCCTGTCTCTTCCCCTGCCACTTTCCACACCTCCGCAAAGAGCTAGCTGCTCTTGGGCTGCTTCCGTCGGGTTTGACCCTCACCTCTCCGAAGCGGGTATCCTTTTGCCAGATCTGCACTGTGCATCCAGGAAAACACACCAGATGAGAAGCTCCTGATGACTGGTTCACACTAATATTGAAAGCTTATCCCAGAAAATTTAGAAATAAAGGTGACTAATAAAATACAACAAAAATTCTATTCCCCTCCCCTTCCTGCTCTAACAGAACTGTTATGCTCCCCTGCAGCCATCTCAGGTGGGGAATGTTTTTGTTTGTTTGTTTGTTTGTTTTTGAGACAGAGTCTCACTCTGTCACCCAGGCTGGAGCGCAGTGGTGTGATCTTGGCTCACTGCAACCTCCCCTTCCTGGGTTCAAGCGATTCTCCTGCCTCAGCCTCCCGAGTAGCTGAGATTACAGGCGTGCGCCACCAGGCCCGGCTAATTTTTGCATTTTTAGTAGAGACGGAGTTTCACCATATTGGCCGGGCTGGTTTCAGACTCCCGACATTGTGATCCACCCGCCTTGGCCTCCCAAAGTGCTGGGATTACAGTCATGAGCCACCACGCCTGGCCCTGAATGTTTTATCTCCTGGAGTAAATGTCCTCTTTGCTGATGACTGCCTCTTCCAGGCCATTCTGCCACTAGTTTCATCGATTGACTAACCTCCATAGACCCTCAGTCTAGCAAGGAGACCACAATGATGCTTTGGGTGTCCAGGTATCCGTTTCAACTCAGACACTACATCGAGTAGCCCTCCAGACATCTGGGGATTCCTTTCTCTTCCGTGTATGGTCACCCAAGTACATGGCCTTGGGTCCGCCTAGGGAAAGACTGGGGAAATCATTACAGTCTTTTCTTACCAGTGCTGCCGAGTTCTTCCTTAGAGACCCAGCCGCCTCTTCAGTCCCTGTGTTCCAGATCGGAAAACTGGCTTAGGTCCAAACAACTGAGCAAGGGACTGTCAGTTTGTTTGAGGGCTCTGGGCCTCCTACGTCTCCACTCGTGCCTCTTGCTGGCTGGAGACGTTAAGCGGCACCTGCGTAGGTTATCCATTTATTCTGCCCCGGGAGATGCTGTGCTCTGCAGACCACAGCTCCCTGTGGGCGGGGCCCGGTTGGCTGCATGACTGACTCTGCAGGTCATTGTGGTAATTGTGACCTCCTGGCATCTGGAAGTCGAAGGCCACCGCCTGGCCTCTATGACTGGGGGCAGAGGGGCTTCATCGCCATGGGTAGCAGTGAGCCCAGCTCTGTGACCAGCTCTCCTGTTTAGTAATGTTGGTGCCTCTCCCCTGAGCATTCCTGACGCTCGTGGCGAATCACGTGTTCTCTGGGCCCGCCCATCATACCTACCCACCCCGCACCCCCGGTGGCTCTTCCGGTCTCAGATGATACAGTGTGCCCACTCTCCTCAGGCTTTTATGTTTTCACTGCCATCTTCCAGGGCAACTTGGCCATTTCCATTGCAGCCATTGACACTGGCTGCCACTTTCTCCAGGCTTCTAAAAGCCACCCTTGAGTTTGCCTCATCACCTGGGGTCCTTGCCAGGGGGTTAAACTCGCATCCTGAGAAAGCGCCCGAGGGAACTCTTGCTAGGCCCAGGCTCCTTGATTAAGCCCCCAGGGAGGAAGCAGCCAGCTGCGTGTGTTGAGGAAGCCACGGCTGCTCACTAACCTCCCACCTTGCATGTACTCTGCCTCCTTTCACTTCCTTTGTCCTTTACTCTTACTTTCCTGGAACTCACCCCGCTGCCCAGAAACACACAAGCTTTGCCTCAGGCTCTGTTTTCTAGGGAAATTGGGCCAAGGCAGGGGTGTTCATGATTCCACATGTTGTAAGGAGAGGGGAGGCTCTTTCTGGCCCTGGAACTGGGGGTGTGCTCATAGTAAGTCCATCTAGCTAGGGATGAAAACAGAAAACCCAACGTCTATGGAAAAATACAAGGATGTGGAAGCGTAACATAAAGACTAAATCAATATAAGTTCAAAATATAATCCCTCCCTGAAATGACACAGCATTTTTTCACTGGAAGCAGCTGGGGGCTGGCACTGGGCTGCCGCATCCCCAGGCAGCAGAGGGCAAGGAAGGAGAAGGGCAAGAGCTCGTACCACGGGTGTCCTTAGCTCACAACCTGTCCTTCATTTCTGCGTCTCTCGTGTACATAATACTGCAGATCCTGCCATAGGAGGGGCGAGGGGAAGAGGAATTGCGCTCAGAACTGTTAGAAAGACTTGGTTTGGAAGAGCTGTGTCTCAGCACAGAGCGGGGAGTGCTTATTAGGCAGAAGTCGGTGACCACCACACCAGCTGCCTCAAGATTTCAAAACCACAGGCCAGGCACGGTGGCTCACGCCTGTAATCCCAGCACTTTGAGAGGCCAAGGTGGGTGGATGACCTGAGGTCAGGAGTTTGAGATCAGCCTGGCCAACATGGTGAAACCCTGTCTCCACTAAAAATACAAAAATTAGCCAGGAATGATGGCGGGCACCTGTAATCCCAGCTACTCAGGGGAGGCTGAGACAGGAGAATCGCTTGAACCCAGGAGGTAGAGGTTGCAGTGAGCCAAGATGGCGCCACTGCACTCCAGCCTGGGCGGCAGAGTGAGACTCTGTCTCAAAAAAAAAAAAAAAATCACAGGTGTACGGAGGATGCACCTGACAGCAATAACTTAAGCATACCCTGAGAATGACCCTATGGCTAAAAAGAATGTGTGTTTGGAGTTCTGAGCTAAGGAATCAGGAAGTGGGGCCAATCTGGAGACTCATTCCTTATCTATGAGGGGCATCTGAACCCCCGGCCCACCTGTGGAATGTGGGCCATAGCTAGAGACAAGATCACAACATATCCAGCAGGAGAGAGAAAGGTCGATCTTATGTCATAGGTTAGCAAACTTTAAAACAGCTGTGTAGAAGGACCCTGGTGACATCCGTTTGAAAGGGGTCACTGCATTTGTCCAGTAAAACATTTAAAGTCTGTTCTGTCGTTGAGACTGATTTTCTTTCCTTACTACCACGAAGCATTGTCTTATTCAGAGGCTCATTTATTCATCATGCAGAAACAAATGACCAGGGAATTCAAAGCCAAGTGATAGGTCTAGCTATATATCTCAGTATTGAATAATAAAACCAATGATTTCTTCAGGGATTCCAAATCAGTGTTTGACAAAGATACAGGACCCAAGGGGAAATAAGGGATCTGGAGCAAAAGAAGCTCAGATTAAATTTTCACTTAGCATAAGATGCCCCTGACTCTATACATGGTCCTCAAAGGTCAAGAGAGTAAAGAAAACACAAACTAGGACAAACGAGAAGGGGCCTGTCCCCTAATGCCCGGTTATCCAGAGAGAAGGCAGGAAAACAGCAGTTGCTGGAGAAACTGAATGCTGGAATGGTGGTTCTCAGCCCTGGCTGCAGGTTAGAAGCACCAGGGAGCATTTTAAAAATGCTAATCCAGGCCGGGCGCGGTGGCTCACACCTGTAATCCAGCACTTTGGGAGGCCGAGGTGGGCGGATCATAAGGTCAGGAGTTCGAGACCATCCTGGCTAACATGGTGAAACCCTGTCTCTACTAAAAATACAAACAATTAGCCGGGTGTGGTGGCGGGCACCTGTAATCCCAGCTACTCGGGAGGCTGAAGTGGGGGTATCGCTTGAACCTGGAGGGGGAGGTTGCAGTTTGCTGAGATCCCGCCATTGTACTCCAGCCTGGCAACAGAGCAAGACTCCATCTCAAAAAAAAAAAATGCTAATGCTTGGGTCCCACTCGCAGAGATTCTGATTTAATGGGTCCAGGGTTTGGCCTGGTTGTCAGAAATCTTACACCTCCCCAGGTGATGGGAAAGTGCAGCTCAAGCACCGTTTTGGAGGGAGACCACTTCAGTCCCTGAGCTCCCTTGTCTCCGTCTGTCACTCTCTCTCCTGTTCTCCCTCGCTGTGGGCCGCAGCAGCTCGCTCCAGGGCTCGGACGCACGACTGACTCGTTTGGGGAGTGAAGTGAGCTCTTCCCGCTGTGCCCTCCTGTTTACCGGCGCAGGAACTCGGGCTTCCACTTCCTCCCCGTGATGTGAGTAGAATGAATTCCAACTCTCCTAGCAGCAAGTTGCGTACAAAACAAAGCTTGAGGGAGAGCACTTTGAGTAGTCCCGAAAGCTCCCTCAGGGAAGACAGACAGGAGCAGAAGAGGGCAGTGTGAGGGGCACACGGCCAGAATTCCATTCACGTCCTTTCGATTGTATCTAGCCAAAGAAAAGCCCTCACAGGGGAGGATCAACGGTTCGTTTCCCCGTTGACAAGTCTGTGTCCACAACACTGGTCTGTTGCAGTGGTAGGGTGAGCAAGTAAAACTGGTAAAAGTTTTTCAAAATTCTTTGAAAAGTGAATCAATATTCTATCAGGTTCAGACAAACTATTTCTGCTGAGACCCATCTGGAAACGTGAAAAGCTCTTGGTAGAAGGAAATCACAGTTGATCTGAATAATTTCTACAGAATTCTACATTCTGGACTTCCTGGAGACCTAATTGTCCTTAAAAAAAGAAATGGGATTTTTAAAGTGTATTCGAATGGAAAATCAGTCACAGACATCAGAGGCAGAAGAGATAGCTGCTTTTTCTTTAAAACAAAAGTAAATTGGGCCATCAGATTGCAATGGTAAAGTGCTTTTGAACCTGCCACATATGAAATGCTTGGTAAAGGCAGTTTTTGTTATCCAGAAGTGGTATTGGCTAGGCAAACCATTAAACAAAAGTCACGCTACTTCACTTTTTAAGGAAGTCCAGGTGCAAACGGCCACAGGTAAAAAAGCAGTGGGGTATCAGGAGTTTAGAAAGGACAGCCTGGCAGGGGCAGGGGCTGGCGTGAGGGGATGGGCAGCAACAGGGAGAAGCACCAGGAGTTTGCTTCTCTTCTCTCTTTGAAGCCAGGCAGGACCCTAAGAACAGCCCAGAACAGGGGTTCTCAAACCTCCGTGTGCAACAGAATCACTCCCAGTTTCGGATTCAGTGGGTCTGGGGTGGGACCTGTGGGTCTGGGGTGGGACCTGAGAATTTGCACATGTAAAAAGTTTTTGGGTGGTGCTGACGCTGCTGGTCTAGGAACACTTTCAGACCCACTGGCCAGGAGAAAGAGAAGCAGAAAAGAAGGTTGTGCGATAATGCTGGAAAATCCACTGCAGGAAAGAGGCCCACAGGCTGTGTGAAACCAGACTGGGAACAGCCTCTTCTTTTCTTTTCTTTTCTTTCCTTCCTTTTCTTTCATTCATCTTTCTTTCTTTTATTTTTTTTTTTTTTTGCATTTTCTTAACTTGCAAATATATATATACTTTATTCTTTTCAACCAAGCAAACACTACAAGAAGATTTCATTTTGCTAAAATATGTTAATAACATTTTTTATTTTATTTTGAGAAGGAGTTTTGGTCTTGTTACCTGGGCTGGAGTGAAATGGTGCGATCTCAGCTCACTGCAACTTCTGCCTCCCAGGTTCAAGGGATTCTCCTGCCTCAGCCTCCCAAGTAGCTGGGATTACAGGCATGCAGCACCACGCCCAGCTGATTTTTTGTATTTTTAGTAGAGATGGCGTTTCACCATGTTGGCCAGGCTGGTCTCAAACTCCTGACCTCAGGTGATCCGCCTGCCTCGGCCTCCCAATGTGCTGGGATTACAGACGTGAGCCACCGTGCCTGGCGTTAATAACTTTGTAAAATGACAATGACTGGAAACCATTTCTAACCTCTGCGTCGGGGCCACCATGCCCACTGTGGTTCAAAACTCAGGCCTCTGAACTGTTTTTCTGTATCCTCTTCCCATGCCACACTGGCGGCCTGAGAGAGTTTCAGTGTCTTGGCGAACAGCGATTTGAAGCGGTATCAGCGTTTGGAACGAAACAGGAGTCTTAAGGCCAGTCGGTTTTGCCACTGATTAACCATGTCGCTCCTCCCTCTCTGAACCTTGGCTTTCTCATCACTGAAAGAAGAGGTTTGGACAAGATGGTAAGCACGCAAATGATAATGTTTTGATGTTTATAGTTTATTTGGCACTTGAGCACATACGATATCAGTTAACCCCTGTGAAATAATTTTTATTCCCTCCCTGCTTTTCACAGAGAAAGAGAATTGGAAAAGCACAGTCATTTTTGAGCACCAGGATAAAGAAGATGGCCACATTAAAACTTCTGCAAAAACCCCACGGAGGACCTAGTCCCTCATGTTACTTAATGTTCCTCATATAACAATTTACGTGAAAAAATCCTCCTAAAAGTGCCTGATAAATATGTCCCTCCAGAAGATGTAATATGTGTCATTTCATAAAAGGCAGAATAAACTGACACCTCATGTTTTTCTTTTGTTTAACTGCCAGGAAGCTTGGAGCTAATTACGCCAAGATTATAATAACCACTTAAATCTCAAATTTCTGGCATTATCTCTCGTATCCTCTAAATCCTAATGCCCAAGTTGTCTTATGGAGACCATCTGTGAATAGGGGGATTGTGTAATTTATCATTGAAACGGGAGTCTTTTCAGAGAGAGCACACTATTAATAGATATGCCAGGTGACAGATACAAGCCAGGACTGTCCCAGGCAAACCGAGATAGGTGGGCACCCTACCTGTAATTGGAAACAGGTTTGCCAAAAACTATATACAAATAGCGGTCCTTTAGACCTTGTTGGTGCAGCATTTTGGGGTCTCATTAAACTCAGCAGAATCACACAGAGTAGAAACAGATGATAAGCCACAGGAAACAATAACAACAAAAGTTCTGAATGTATTTGTGGGTCTGGGAAGGGAACGGGTGAGCCCTCCTCCCGTCATGCAGCCCTATCCCACTTTATTTCCCAAAGCTTGTGCCTCCTCAGTACTATGGACATCGTGTCCCGTGGCCAGTCACAGCTCGGAGTCTTGCTCTCTCTCCCAGGCCAGAGCGCAGTAGCATGATCTCGGCTCACTGCAACCTCTACCTCCCAGGTTCAAGCAACAACCTACTGAGCAGCTGGGACTACAGGTGGGAGCTACCACACCCAGCTA